TGAGAAATTACATATTCCTCTACTATGCGACACAACAATGGCCTAAGGAAATTATAATGAGAAATTACATATTCCTCTACTATGCGACACAACAATGGCCTAAGGAAATTATAATGAGAAATTACATATTCCTCTACTTTGCGGCACAACAGTGGCCTTGTGTAATTACCATGAAAAACCACTAATATCTTTATTATAAGATATAATAACCAAAACAGTAGTGATGTTTTTATTATGCATGACTACAATGGCCTGGGGTAATTACCGCATAAAGTCAGTTATATTTACCGTATATTACAGTACTTACCTGATAATAAAATTGGATTTCTATCACGATACACTAAGATTTTAATAATGTTTAGTTTAAAGTATTTTAATCCCGTTGACAATGGTGATATGCAGTAAACTTCACAGTAAAAATCAGTTACCTTTAGAGTGTTATAAAACATTGACCTACGCATATAGGCAAATCCGTGAACTTCAGTGAATTTTATATTTGTACTTCGACATAGATAAACATATGAAGAATAACCTGAAACCCGGCCTGTGGTTCTAACAACAAACACGTTCACACAAGTTCTTGTTTTGGTTGGTTTGTTTTGTGTTAGCGTAAAGCCACAGAATAGACTATCTTTGCTCTTGTCCACCACGTAGAATCGAACCCCTGGTATTTAGCGTTGTCAGCAGTAGCTTAAGTATAACCCGCATCACTCGCAATTGCGAGGGGGCCGAATCTGTCAGAATCGTAACTACAATTATAGGTAAATAAATGTAGGGGGCCCAATTACTTTTTATGTGGGAGGGGGGAATCTTTTGTAGTTACGCCATTCGTTGTCTGTCTATAAACTTACCGCTGACTCACTGGGGACTCTTGATTTAGACTCATACAACGTCACAAAACAGTAACATTACCTGAAAGTTGTTTAATGTTTTCTCTCTCGCTACTGAGGAATAAATTAAAAGTGTTAGGTGTTATTTTCACCAAAAAGTCAAGGCTAAAGCCCATGTTTTTTCCAAAATTTTGAAAAAAATTGTTTTTCCTCATATTTCAATACAAAGATGCCCTTGATGTAAGACTTTCAAAATGCAGATCCCTTCATCAAAATTCCCAATAGTAATTTCATAATATGTTAACAAAATTTCTCCTTTCTTCGATTTTACCGTTGTTGTTTTTCCAGTTATCTTGTACACAAAGAAGAGCTTTAAAAATACGATTATTCAAACGAAATCCCATCTGTAGTCAGAAGGATGAGTATAGTACAAATATTAGGTGTATGTGTATATTCCTATAGTGTTAAATCTGTAGTAAGATGGATAATTGTAGTACAAATGTTAGATATATGTGTATATTCATATAGTTCTAAATCTGTAGTAAGATGGATAATTGTAGTACAAATGTTAGATATATGTGTATATTCCTATAGTGTTAAATCTGTAGTAAGATGGATAATTGTAGTACAAATGTTAGATATATGTGTATATTCCTATAGTGTTAAATCTGTAGTAAGATGGATAATTGTAGTACAAATGTTAGATATATGTGTATATTCATATAGTGCTAAATCTGTAGTAAGATGGATAATTGTAGTACAAATGTTAGATATATATGTGTATATTCCTATAGTGTTAAATCTGTAGTAAGATGGATAATTGTAGTAGATGTATGTTGATATTCCTTTGGTATTACATCTGTAATAAGAGGGTCGATAATAAAGCTTTAACAGCCTGGTATGCACAACAGTTTAATAGATTATTAGTTTACGGTTTAAGTTATTGATTTTTTTTATATGAACAAGGGAGACCATAAGGGTTGCCCCAACCCCCCGGTGGTTCAGCGGTAAGTTTGAGTGCTTATAATGCTAAAAGTCTGGTTTCGACGCCTGCGGTGGACAGAACACAAATAACCCATTGTGCAGGTTTGTACTTAACAATAAACCCATTGTGTAGGTTTATGCTTAACAATAAACAAACCAAAAACCCTAAAGGTTCCGTTCCGCGTGACAGATATTCCGGTTTGAAATCTTTCCAAAATTTAAATTTAGAAATTAGAAAGAAACATCCATTTCTCTTCATCAGTCTCGTGGTGTTGTCAATAGTGAGAAGTGAGAAATATGACAAGTTAACCCGAGAAAAAGTCTGGAATAGAGCAGCGGGAAAATTCGGAGATGATGCGAAGAAAGTCGGGAAGGCCTAGCTGTCACTAGACATGTTCCTGTTCTTCGTGTTGTTGACAATTGGAATAGAGCAGCGGAGATGATGCGAAGAAAGTCGGGAAGGCCTAGTTGTCACTAGACATGTTCCTGTTCCTCGTGTTGTTCACAATTGGAATAGAGCAGCGGAGATGATGCGAAGAAAGTCGGGAAGGCCTAGTTGTCACTAGACATGTTCCAGTTCTTCGTGTTATTGACTCGTCGAAGATAACAATGTTCAAAGTAAAAGTCGTAAGGCTTAAATATTTTATATAAGATGAATCGAGCTGTACAGGAATATTTAGAAAATTCGGAGATGATGCGAAGAAAGTCGGGAAGGCCTAGTTGTCACTAGACATGTTCCTGTTCTTCGTGTTGTTCAGTTGTCACTAGACATGTTCCTGTTCTTCGTGTTGTTCAGTTGTCACTAGACATGTTCCTGTTCTTCGTGTTGTTCACTCGTCGAAGATAACAATGTTCAATGGGCGTATTTTCACTTGGAATAGAGCAGCGGGAAAATTCGGAGATGATGCGAAGAAAGTCGGGAAGGCCTAGTTGTCACTAGACATGTTCCTGTTCTTCGTGTTGTTGACTCGTCGAAGATAACAATGTTCAAAGTAAAAGTTGTAAGGCTTAAATACTTTATATAAGGCGAATCGAGCTGTACAGGAATATTTAGAAAATTCGGAGATGATGCGAAGAAAGTCGGGAAGGCCTAGTTGTCACTAGACATGTTCCTGTTCTTCGTGTTGTTGACTCGTCGAAGATAACAATGTTCAAAGTAAAAGTTGTAAGGCTTAAATATTTTATATAAGGCGAATCGAGCTGTACAGGAATATTTAGAGTGTATCATATTTTCTTAATCAATTATAAAATGCTTCTGTTTCTCAAAGCACGGTTATAATTCACTCGTTTATGTAATTTCTGGTAATTAACAGTGATATGAATAGTAAAGGCACGAGTTCAAAAAGTCAAATGTTAAACGATACATCGTCATCAACGCTTTGAGAAAAGCGGAGATCGTAGAGACAAATTTGAGTTCCAAATCTTCAAAATTACTAGTATTGGTGATCTCGTTCTAAAAAATATATGGGCTTAATTTTAACATGATTATGTTATTATAGGCTAAACTAACTGTTTTAAAATTCTGTCAACACGTCAGTTACATAAAACACCGTTCATACTTCTGTTTTAATATGTTCTTGTTGTCATTGGGAATGTCTCAATGTTCTTTCTTATTATGATATTTGGTATACTTCTCGTGGAAATTAATTTGTTCGTGTTTAATATGATTTATTCTACCTGACCCCGAACAACTTGCACGAACCAGAAATTTTGTGCGTTAGGATCAGAAAGAATATCACTTTGTACCACTAAAATCCAGATGAAATTATAAGTATGTCATAACACAAGCAATGAGCAGTGAAAGATTTCGTTTAAATAATGGTTTAATTGTTTGTTTGTTTTTTTAACTTCGCGCAAAAACTACCCGAGGGCTATCTGCGCTAGCCGTCCCTAATTTAGCAGGTGGCCAGGTGGTTAGGGCGCTCGACTCGCAATCTGTGGGTCCCCGTCACCAAACATGCTGCCTTCCAGCCGTGGGGGGCTTATAATGTGACGGTCAATCCCATATTTGTGGTAAAGAGTAGCCAAGAGTTGGCGGTGGGTGGTGATGACTAGCTGCCTTCCCTCTAGTCTTACACTGCTAAATTAGGGACGGCTAGAGCAGATAGCCCTCGTGTAGCTTTGCGCGAAATCCGTAACAAACAAACAAACATTTGGTGTTAATTATCTACGTGTACAAGATTTTAATAATACAAAAATAACAACAACAAACAAACAAACAAAAAATACAACACTCTTGAGCGTAGCTTTATTTTGTCTCCCCCAGCTTTTAACAAAACAGGAAAAGTTTCTCGACTCTCTAGTGTACGTGCTCATCAGTAGAATGTTATTCACTCTTTCTTATTCAATTCCAACATAAACTATACTATAAGGAAATTATACTAAAGAGAAAAAAAAAATGAATATAATGGAAGTAAGTTACGAGCAGTTCTTATATTACGGGCAGTAGGTGAGACCACCCATTCTCCCAAAATGATCCCCCCCTCTTTTTTTTTTGACCCCTGTACAAGTCTATACACGGTCTACTAAAAAAGTTATGCCGTTATGTCAATTTTACAGGAAAGGGAAGGGGGGGGGGGGACAGGCATCACTGATAGTAAATAGAAGTGCTCCCCGACGCGCGCATCACAACCGGCAGCATAACCCAGACCGCCAGCCACTGCTTTACATGCTGTTCGCGTGGACAGATGATTAGGTGTGTGGAGGAATACGTGTTTGACGCGTAAGGCCTCGTACTACGTGAAGACGTGTTGGCACAAATAATGCAATGTTCTGTTCTCTAATGTGACGCTGTAACTGCTTGCCATTCATCATCACTACCTCACTGTTCATTGCCTTATATTTTAAAGTTCCTAAAGACGTCATCTAGGCAGTAAAAACTATAAACTTGTATCTCAAATTTCTACCTAAATCCTCTGCTCAGCTGATCCGATCAACAGAAGAGTAGAGAAGGTTGAAGTGACTTTTTTTTTTTCGTCGAAAAGTAAATGATTAAGTTTTATTCTAAAACTACATAGTTTTATGAAGTTTCAGTTAGATCTGTCGCTCTCGTCCAGTCGACCGGATGTTGTTAACGTCCAACACTCCTCACAAAGTCGCCAACAGCATACAGCTGACGCCAAAGACTGTCAAATGTAGTAGGCTTAATTAGTTGTTCCACTAACTCTTTTTTTCCCCCATTGGTAGCTGCTGTCATTGAAGAGGTAGATTGATCAGCAGTGGACAGAAGGGCCGTTCCAGCAGTCCATATTCAGCATCAACGTTCTCTTTCTCTCTGATCTCCATCATTCCATATTCAGAAGGCAAGCCAGCCACTACAGATCCAGAACAGCTACAGCGCCCGACGGTCAGCCAGTAGTCACGAGGGACTACTTCGCTATCGACGTCTGCTCATTGACCTTTTACATTTACATGAGAGTTTTCTTCGTAACATTTCATTCTGGTATCTGGTGACTAGTTGAACTGCGGTCAACGATGGACAGTGTAAACGTGCACTCTTTCCTCCCGCTTCTTTGGGCCAGCAAGTTCGGACCTAGCTTACCTTGGCCGGCTACTGTCACTTTCGATTCGTCAAAGATGCCTCCAGGTAAACCCTTCTTATCAGTTTGTACTGGGTGATATCTAAGTAGGTAACATAAGTAATTATATGGTGCAGTCAGACACACACACACACACACATGATTGTGCTAGTTTGTAAAGTCAGACACACACACATGATTGTGCTAGTTGTAAAGTCAGACACACACAATCATGTGCTAGTTTGTAAAGTCAGACACACACATAATCATGTGCTAGTTTGTAAAGTCAGACATCATTTTATCGATTTCTCACCACCACGCTATCCCTGCTGATTTGCGATCAGTTCTTTTCTATATGCACCTAAAACAATTTAACAACTAGCCAAAGGATGACCCACCTTCCCTTGGGATTTGGAGGTTAAGCCGATCGATGAAACTGCGATTAGTCTCCAAATGCCATTAGAAAGGAAGGTATTCAAGATAACCGTTGTCCAGCGGGTTTCTCAGCAGTTAAAGGAAGAACAGGGCTTTCGTATATTTCAGATGGAACATAAATAAAGAATACCGGAAGTTGAAAAGCCAGAATATACTCAATTATTTGATAATTTTAACAAAGAGAAACGTGGTAATAAAAAATGTATTTTGTATCCTAGGTTAGTGGAAGAAGACCGTTATTTACTTCAGGTTTATGACTGTAAAATATATTGTGATGTTCTGTAGAGTAGAAGATCACATATTTAAATTGTATTTGTTGACGTGAAGATGGAGAGGAGAAGAAACTGTCTTTTCTTCCCGTTTTGAAGATGCAAAAGATAATGATTTATTCTTATTGTTTCATTGAAGGTAAGGTAAGAAACTGGGGCTTTTTTATGTACTTGAAGTTTGAGCAAGGAAAATAATAATATATATATGTATTTGTGTATGTGTGGTTGAAGTTGGGTCAGGGAAAATAATAATATGTATATATGTATTTGTGTGTGTGTGGTTGAAGTTGGGATTGGTAGATAAACCATTTATTGTTTATTTTTTGCATCTGTCAGTGTAGTTTTTAAACGGAATGTAGTTTCTGTTTATAATTTATGCATGCGTCATGAGGACTAAACGGTCAGGCCAGAGCCCCCAATTTTGAACTACCCATCAAAAGGAAGGAAGCCAGTCATCAGCACACACCATAGACTAGTCTTAACCGAATATTGGGTTTCAATGTCCCCTTTATAACGTGCCTCCAGCTGGGACAGCGGTGAGTTTACAGACTTATAACGCTAAAATCCAGGGTTTGTATCCCGGCGGTGGACACAACAGATAGTCTAATGAGGCTTTGCTCTAAAACAAACAAGCGAATGTTTTATAACGCCTACTTCTGAAAGGGCGGAGTGTGTTCAACGGCTTATATCGAGGTCTCGAACCTTATAATCCATATACTTTTGATCCGTTAAGCAATGTTACTAGAAAAATACCCCAAACTAAGCTTAGTTGTTAAGTTTCACTGTGTTACTACGCGTGTTTTTGAGAGTTTAGAATACAGTAAAAATATGAGGAAGTATTTATAAGACACTCACTTGTTTTATTAACTTGAAACTAACGTTATACCTCGCGAAAATATTAACAGAATATACCTAATATATAATTTTTTCGATCGCTCTCTTCAGCATATTTATTTTATAATCAATCGAATAGTATATGGTGTCAAAATTTAATGAATACTAGCTTTCGTTAGAGTGCCCCTTTGAGTGATATAGGGGTCAGATCCAATCGCTGACCCCTCTACGTCACTCCACGAGGGGTCTAATAGTACGTACCAGGTTTGGTAACAATCGGTCGAGCAGTTAGTTCGCCAGTTATAAACGGACACACAGAGACTTTTGTCAAATAACGACCCATAGATTGCTGTGTGGCGCAATTTTACTATTTTGTTTAACTTCAAATATTGATATTTCAACTGGCCTGATGTAATGTAGCAGTTTTGTTTACTGTTGAGATTAAATACAAATAAATACGACGAACATATAAATTTCTTACGGGTCTTCTGAATAGTTATTTACTATTTATTCTAAACAATGTTTTAAACTATAATTGAAAATGTTTTAAATTTTCATAAGACGTTGGAATGTTTGTTATTTTTGTTTTGGCTCCAAAACAATGCTTTACTTCTAAAGACAAAAACAAAACAAAACAGTAAGAGTAAAAACAAAACAGACAAACATTTGGCTTTTAAACTTTCGTTTAACGACGTAAGGAGAGTCGTCTAGATAAAAAAAAATAATTCACGAATTGTGACTTTGAATCCAACAACATTTATAGTTGTTATATTAAGTTTCTTTTTCTTTTTTGCTATTTAATTATTTTGATTCAAATAAATTCCAGAACTAGAGTTGTTTATTTGTATGTATTGTAGACTAACATAATAATTTTGAGGTAAACATTCAGTTGTAAGTCACAAGTGTTATTTAACGTTCTAGATTAATGCAAGCTAAACCTCCTTTGTTTACAAATATCTTAATAACTACATAAGAAATTATGACAATATGATACAGATTAAAAACGGTTTTATTGTTTGAGATTAATACATTAACTGTATTTGAATCAAAGGCAGTTGCTTTGCATGCTCCAGGTTTTATTATAAACCAAGTTTTATAAGAAAAATTCACATATTCATGATAAATATGGGTTTTAGTTTTTATCTGTTTTTTATCTTAAAACGTGTGTGTTTTTTTAATGAGGTTCAATAGCTTAAATTTTTAAAAAAAAGGTTATACGTTACATTCGATCTCCGAGCTATTTGGATATCTGGAACAATACTCGACATTTACTATCCAATCTTGTATGTTTATACTGAAAAAGAGAGTGATTAAAGATGTCTACATTTTTAGTTCGTGTGTTTTTCATCGTTCGGTATTCTAGCTTGTACTATAAAACATGTTTACTTGCATTAGGTATAACAAAACCCGTATCATGAACAGTTCCATTAAGTGAATATCTTATCCAAAAAACAAGCTATGTCAGCGGGAGCTGATATGTAAGTAATGCGAAACTGTAGTTTTCAGATGACCAATACTTAGTGTAAACTAATAAAATTTATATTCACAAACGAACATTTGGTATAAGATCACAGATTTCTAATCAATAATTAAACGTATAGTTTAATCTATATTTAAACAAGAGGGAATCCACGATATCCGCGTATACCCGATTCGATTTTATTACTCATCAGAATCTCTACTAGCCTACCCTCAGATTGATATTCTTTCAGGCAGGATTAGAGTAAATTAATCTATGAGACCTTTGGGCGTGGTCAAATACATCAATCGAAAGGGTTTGACCTCCTGAGTCCAAAACTGTAACTACATCTCAAATCGTTCAGGAGATGACGCAGCTATGAGCTAAAAGTTTGTACATGAAAATTTAAAATAAAAAAATCAGAGCCATTCTATGAGCCGCTATGCCGCGGCTAAAAACACTGAAAATCTAATTTACTATAAATCGTGAAATGAGAAAATATGGATGTAGAAAAAAATAATAATGATTATTTAAATAAAGTTAAAATCCTTTGTTATATGTATATTAAAACATATACAACAGAAGTACATTTTGTACTTACTGATACACATTTTTTACTGACTTCTTTATAAAGATAATTCAGTGTTTGATACTCTCGTACTTGTAAAAGATATACTTTCATATCATATTTGCATCTTTACTTCGATGTTCCATAAGCAATCAGTGATGTTGAAATAATAGCACATTCTTAGCTGCCTCCAGTGGATCAGCGATAAGTCTGAGGGCTTATAACGCTAAACATCGAGTTTCGATATTGGCGGTGGGCAGAGCACTGATAGTCCATCGCGTAGCTTTGTGTGTAACAACAGATAAACAAGGAAAACTGTGGAATTGAATCACTTTGTCTGTTAAACATTAACGGACTGTATTCTGTGCATATGAATGGGAAACAAAGTTTTGTAATTTAATATGTCATCATATTCCATTATTTAACTTGAATGCTCCACATGGACTAAAGCTATGAGAATGTGGTATTACTGTAAATGACGTGTAAGAGCATTTATTTTATTGCAAAATTAGTGTGTGCCCGTTAAAAGTAGTGTTGGAATCTACTTTAATTGTTCTATACAAGTCTATTCCAACAATACTTTAACTGTTCTATATAAGTCTATTCCAACACTACTTTAACTGTTCTATACAAGTCCGTTCTATACAAGTCTATTCCAACAATACTTTAACTGTTCTATACAAGTCTATTCCAACAAATTAAAGTATTGTTGGAATAGACTTGTATAGAACAGTTAAAGTATTGATGGAATAGACTTGTAGAGAACAGTTAAATTAGTGTTGGAATAGACTTGTATAGAACAATTAAAGTATTGTTGGAATAGACTTGTATAGAACAGTTAAAGTATTGTTGGAATAGACTTGTATAGAACAATTAAAGTATTGTTGGATATATGAATAGACTTGTATAGAACAATTAAAGTATTGTTGGAATAGACTTGTATAGAACAGTTAAAGTATTGATACATTGTGGAAATGAATATATTTACTATTATTACAGTGTGATTTTACATCTTTTAATTGTCTGTTTTTCTAATCTATATTGCATGTATTTTTGCGCATTTTAGTGTCCATGTATATGCGCATGAATGTTTATTGGGGACAGCGTCCTTGTCGCTTAAAAACGATCGGTTTTCTCTACAAAAACGATTTTTTTATTTATTTTTTCTTCCCCCAAGAGTTTTTGCTCATCCAGCAGAAATGCCAAACCATCACATTTATTTCCCGGATTAGGTTCGCATTTTGCAATTCATACAGGTTGGTGTGGAAAATAGAAGCAGTAGGGGCTTCATTGCTGTTCAGTCGCTTCTAGTTTGCAGCCTTTAAATCTGCAATGCATTACGTATATACCAATGGATGTGGTGAATGAGGCTGGCAGCTTGGAATGCTACCATGTTCAACACTATTATTGAGGCGTCTGAGGCAAGCTTTGGACACTAACGAGGTGGTTGGTTGAGCCTCTTTGCATTTTTCCTGCAGCTGTTTTGTTCTTCCTGATATTTTG